GAAAAAGGAAAGAAGAATAATTCAACTAAAAAAAATAGAAAAAGAAAAAAATAAAAATTTAAAAAATTAACTTTGAAAGACTAAACATCCTGGGAAAACTATGAATTCTATGTGTGGTATTCCCCTAGCACTGTTGTTTTGCCGTTCTCATTGATGGGTAAACTTGGTCTTGGCTGGCTGTTCTTGCTGATCTTCTGCAGGAGGGGCCTGTTGCGGTGGTTCTCAAATGTCTGCGGGAGGCGGAATTGCCCCACCCTTGCTGGGGCCAGGCTAAGTCATCTGCTCGGGTTTGTTCTCGGTAGCTTTTGTTCCCTGAAAGCTTTCCCTACAGCTTTGGAGGACAAGAGTGACAATGGCGGTCTCCCAATTTCTGGTCCCAGAGGAGTGGAGAGCTCGGGGCCCCACTCCTCAGTGAGCCCCCAGAGAAAAGCGTCAATCACTTCCATTTCCCTGGTCTCCCGTGCCCACTCTGCTCACCTGGCCTGTGACCGAGCGTTTCTATCTCTGGCACCCGACCCCCGTGTGGAGTCTCCAAACCCAGCAGATCCCTGCGGTGCACTCCCGCACCACTCTTCCCAGGGGAGGAAGGGGGAGTCTCCCCGATCTGCTGCTTGTTGGGTCCCTACTGGAAGAGCAGTGGCCGGGCTGTGCCGTGGATCACAGTTTATGGCAACCCGGCGCTGAGAGCCCACTCCTCAGCTCCGTTTTTGCAGCGGGTTTCCCCGCTCTGATACCTGGAAGCTCTGCTGCACTCAGGCACTCCCGGTCTTTCTGTGACCCCGAGGGTCCAGAGACCACACTGTCCCAGCGAGGGTTCCACCCCTCTGAGCCACTGGCATGACGGCCCTCAGCAAAGCAGACTGCTAAAAGTTCCGATTTTGTGCTCCGCTGCTCTATCACTTGCGGGTAGCTGGCTGAGGAGGCTCCCCGCCCCTGTCTTTCATCCCGTATATCGCCTTGGATTCACTTCTCCTTATGTCCTACCTTCCAGAAAGTGGTTGCTTTTCTGTTCAGAGAGTTGCTGCTATTCTTTTCTTCGATCTTCTGTTGAGTTTGTAGGTGTTCTGAATGGTTTGATAATTATCTAGCTGAATTCCTGGGGCTAGACGAAATTTAGGTCTCCTACTCCTCTGCCATCTTGCTCCTCCCCCCGGGTTTGAGATTTTTTAAAGTAAATGTGATTATGTTACTTCTGTAAAGGAAATGAAACTTTACTTCTATAAATTAGGGACCAGAATAAATAACATAGAAGGAAATTTTATCAATTGGCTGAACAGAATCTCATAGAATAACAATATTGTGGTAGGCTCATCACAGTCCAAGATAATGATCTGATCTACCAGTCCTGAGAGTCCATATTGTTTGAGTAAGAGTTGATTGCTTATTAAATGCCAATCTTTTTTATTTTATTGTAAATCTGCTAGTGTTATGTGTCAAATACATTAAGTACTTGAGCCTTCCACTACAGACTGGCTTCTCTCTAGGCCTACTGTACCGTCATTATCTTAGGATTTCTTTTCACCATCATCCTGACATGCATTTTGCCCTGTTACCTAGGTCGCATGTCTTCCTCTTTCTTTGTTTACTCCTTAATTTGTTGGAGAGCATTCGTAGTGAACTTCCTGAGGAAGGGGTACAGATGGTAAACTTTTTGAGACCTCGTATATTTGAAACATTTCCATCATAGCCTCACACTCAATAATTTAGGAATGGAATTATAGATTGAAAATTATTTTCCTTCAGAAATGCCTTTTGAAGGCATTACTCCATTGTCTTCTATCTTCCAGAGTTACTGAAAACTCCAGTGCCTTTTTACCATTCTGATTCTAGGTCATTTGTGAATTGTTTTTTTTCTGGAAACTTTTAGGATCTTTTTCTATGCATTTTTCTTAAATTTCGCAAAGATGTGTCTTGATGATTATTTTCATCTTGGGCTTTCAGTGGGCTCTTTATTTATTTTTTTTTTAAAGATTTTATTTATTGATTTATTTGAGAGAGAGCATGAGAGAGAGAGAGAGACCATGAGAGGGGGGAGGGTCAGAGGGGGAAGCAGACTCCCCGCTGAGCAGGGAGCCCGATGTGGGACTCGATCCTGGGACTCCGGGATCATGACCCGAGCCGAAGGCAGTCGCTGAACCAACTGAGCCACTCAGGCGCCCGGCTCTTTATTTTTTTTTAAGATTTTATTTATTTATTTGACAGAGAGAGACACAGCAAGAGAGGGAACACAAGCAGGGAGAGTGGGAGAGGGAGAGGCAGGCCTCCCGCGGAGCAGGGAGCCCGATGCGGGGCCTGATCCCAGGACTCTGAGATCATGACCTGAGCCAAAGGCAATCGCCCAATGACTGAGCCACCCAGGCGCCCCTCAGTGGGCTCTTTAAATCTGGAACTCTGATTCTTTAGTCCTGGGAAATTTTCTTCAATTACTTAATACTTTCCTTCTCCCTCCATTTTCTTTCTTTTCTCATTTTTGGATTTACTATTCAAATTTGGAACTTTTTGGCTTCTGTTTTTTCTTTCTCTTATTACTATACTCTCTGGAATATTTCTCCAACCCTTCTATTGAGTTTTTCATTCTAGTCTCAGTCTCCTACCTGGAGGAATAAACCTGACTGCCAGCATTCTGGAATCTGGTGATCTTTAATACATGTATAAACTTAACCCCCTTTTTTCACTGTGGCATTCCTGTCTCAGCTATGCCTCGTACTCGCTGGTCCACAGAAGTCTGGACTAATAATCTCTTTTACCTTCACAAGAATTTTTGACTCTGCTATGGTGCAGAAGGGCCAATTGCTCAGGTACATAGAGTGGCGCAGGAGATATGATGGCCTAACTGCTGCTTGACTTTAAGCAAGTCCTCTTTTTTTTTTAGCCCCATTTTCACCCCCACCTCTCCCTTCAGGGCTATCAGGTGCCGCTAATTCCCCAACCTTTGCATGGGTTTTTTAACATTGGTCACATTACTTCTCATCTTTCCCTGCTTCCAGTTTAGGATAAAATTTTCTTGGTCTACTAAGTTAGCTACCACTCCATTTCCTTTTCAGCTGACAAAAAGTTATTGCTGTTATCTCTTTGTTCTTATGTGTTTGTGCCTGTTCTCTTTATTCCCTTTACTGCTGTTTTTATTTTTTTTTTAGAGCTTTGGCAGGTATCTTTCTTCAAGTATAGAAAAAAATAGGATACCATTAATTTTTACAGCTGAGCATATTTGATTTATAGTCAGTTAAACATATTGAACAAACTTTTTAATATAGCATTCAGCTACTTAATGCTATCTTTATACAGTTTAAGGGATACAACTTTGATTAATCCATGTTTAACTAGATCTTTAGCTGGACATCTGAATGTATCAACTTCTCTAGTTAAACTTTTACTATGGCTATAAATGAAAGTATAACTCAATTTATGCCAGAGGAATAGTATAGGTATTATCAGTGGAGTTTAGAAAAGGGAGAATGTGATGAGCAAAAATTTGGCAGTTTTTATCTAGTACTGTCCAAGGAGAGAGAGGGAATCTGAAAGATCTGTACATTCTGATCGTTAGAATTGGGGATAATCTTTTCAGGAAAAGTTTTACAGTGGCCTTTGTAAAATCCTGAAAACTACTTCTCTTTCTCTTATGGCATGCTCACTAGACAACCTAATTTTTTGCTAATTAAGCTTTCCTGATGTTAGAAAGGGAGTCCTGAGCAGTATAGGCACAGGTATTTCAGTTACTAGAGTAGAACCCTGTACCTAGAATACTACTACTCCTAACAGTTGACATTCATTGAGTACTTACTATGCAGCAGGCACTGCTCCAAGCGCTTTATGTATATTACCTTGTTGAATACTCACACCTTAATACTCACACCTTAATAGATAAGGACACTAAAGTTAACATTAAGTACCTTGACCAATATCACATAGTAAGTGATGGAGCTGCATAAATTGATTTATTAATACAGACTATAATAAATTTGTCTTGTGATTTATACTTGATTCTTATTGAAGGTAGCGGGAGTCAAAGAGCCTGATGAATTCCAAGAATATTGGGGAAATGGACCTTTTGGATCTGTAAGCTAGTTAGTATTTCACTTGAGCGACACAGACATAATAATACCACCCCATAATAGAAAGTCTGCCTGAGTAAACATGTGGCCCCCAAGGAGGTTAGTTTCTTAGATCTTATTAATATTGAATTTACTTAGAACCTGGTACTTCGTTAAATTATTCTTTGGTTTTAACTTTTTTACTGCTTAAAGATGTTAGAATAGTTGAAGTGCAAAGACAAAAGTAGCAGCTAGAAAATTGTCAAAAAAATGTGCATACCTCAGATTTATCCAAGAACAGGTGCTTCTGTCCATTTGATCCTTGTTGTATTTCTCTTGCCTTTCATCAGTGATTTAAAGGTTTACTCTATGTGAAAAGAACTTTGAAAAAGGTGAATTTCTTTGCAGATGGATTCAGTGAAAAAAGTGATAGATAGGGGTGGCTGGGTGGCTCAGTTGTTGGACTTGGGTCATGATCCCAGGGTCTTGGGATCAGGCCCTACTTGGGCTCCCTGCTTGGTGAACCTGCTTCTCCCTCTTCTTCTGCCTGCTGCTTCCCCTGTTCTATGTGTGCTCTCTCTCTCTCTCTGTCAAATAAAATCTAAAAATAAAGTGATAGATGTATATAAAATACCTGTTCGTGGTAGAGAAATACTACTTATTCTCTTAATAATCACTTTATCACTCCAGTTGTAGAGATGGAACTCCTTCTGCAGATCCTACTTTAGACAAGGATGATACAGTAGCTTTTTATTGTTTGTGATTAACAGGAATTTTCTGAGTATACAGTAGTTTACTAGGGGCCCCTGGCTGGCTCAATTGGTAGAGCATGTGACTCTTGATCTTGGGGTTGTGAGTTTGAGCCCCATGTTGGGTGCAGAGATTACTTTAAAAAAAAAAAGTTTATTAAGTGCTCTTTTCATTATTGACTGACAGCTTAATATTATCTTTTCCTTTCTGAACCAATAGGTCTTGGCTGTTCAACCATACTTTCTCCGGAAGGATCAGCTCAGTTTGCTGCTCAGATATTTGGATTAAACAACCATTTGGTATGGGCTAAACTGCGAGCAAGTATATTGAACACATGGATTTCCTTGAAGCAGGCTGACAAGAAAATCCGAGAGGGCAATTTATAAAACATCATTGCCCTTTTTTTTGAGAAAAACTACATTTCTTGTTTAGTTTCAGAAAAAAATCAAGATGAAAAGTTTTTAAATCAATCAAAGAAAACAATAAAATTTACTAGTGAATAAATGCCTCTCTAGATTCATGGATCAGTAGACTCTGGAGATATTAACATTTCTTTAGAGGAAGTGAAATTAGTATAAGGACACTTTTAAAATCTCTTAGCTACTATATGGTCCTAATTGGGTAGATAACAATCTAATATATTTCTTAAATACTAATAATGTCTTGTTATAGAGCTCTAAAGTTATTACTTGACTTTCTGTATCTCAACCCATAAGTTTTAAAAAGTTAAAATGCTTGTATCTTAGAGTGATGAGCAATAATATAGTCCTCTTTTACATTATGATCTTTACAAAATCCTAAGGGTGTGGTGTTTTATTTGTAGTCACTCTCTCAAAATAGATGGGTATTTATCCCCAGCTGTAGACCAAGATGCTGTTTTGTTTTGCTTTTATTTGTTTGTTTAAAGTTGAGATTGATATTTGGGGTAGGGAAGACACATGAAATAAGATGAAGGGATACTGTGGAAGCTATAGAAAGGGGACTTTTCTGAGAACTTCTCTAATGGATGTTAGGGCAATTTCCCATGGAAAAAAAAAGTAGAGTCACCTTTGTCATTCCAAATGAAAGATTTAGTTAATCTTACTTACTTATAATGGGGTGCCTCTGTGAACCATAAAATTCTTTTAATTCTGATAATACATGTTTTAGCCAAACTAACAATCCTCAGCCTACCATGATTTTCTGAAATTGGAATCTCCTAGTCAATAACCATACTAGTTTCTTTCAATAGAAGGCTGGGCAGGTACCCAGTAAGATTCACCTCTAAAGGGGCAGTTGTTATAGATGTTATAGATCACTAAACTTTAATCTGAATGTCTATGAACCCCTTGAACTTCCATGTAGAATTTTATGTCTGTGTTCACTTTTATGGAAAGGGGGCAATCATCGTTTTTATCCAAAGGATTAAAATGTTAAGAATCTCTGCTACAGGGATGTCTGGGTGGCTCAGTCAGTTAAGTGTCTGCCTTCGGCTCAGGTCATGATCCCAGGGTCCTGGGATCGAGTCCTGCATCAGGCTCCTTGCTTAGTGGGGAGCCTGCTTCTCTCCTCCTGCCTGCTGTTCCCCCTGCTTGTGCTCGCTCACTCTCTGTCTCTAACAAATAAATAAAATCTTAAAAAAATAAAACCCACACTGTGTGTAGGGAAAAAAAAGAATCTCTGCTACGGATGAAATCTTGGTAAGATCCTTGCCACTGGCTTACACTGTCTATACCTTTTCACCTCCCTCTGAACTGTTAACAAGCTAGCATCTCTTATCACTTCTTTTACCTCATCTCATGGGGCAGGGTATGATTGTCCTAACCATTCCTTTCTTTGACTAGACACTAAGATATTCCAACCTCAATCCTGATGTTTTTCTTATATTCTTCTTTCCCTTTAAGTATTGATGTTTCTTCTATTGAGTCTCTCCATTACTTACAAGTAATCATTGGAGTAACTGCTTCAGCTAAAACTAGCATTACTCTTAGCTCTGTATTTGTAGACTTGTAGTTTGAACTGTTCGTTCCTCTCTGTCTGAATGCTCCAAACTTACTTCATCTGCCATCCAGCCTATTAACTGGCTGTACTCTCTGTCCCAAATCAGAAGTGTTAATCCTTAATATTTCTTTCTTACACTTTCACATCTCACTTATTACAGAGTTCTGAATTTACCTGGTTTACCCATCCTCTGTTCAAAAGCCTCAAGTGGGGGTCAAATTCTACATTATTGGACTGATCTAGAAGGTCTTCATTCTCAATATTTTGAAGTTGTCCAAGGACTGACAACATAAACTGTTAACATATGAATGCCCTTGACTCTCGCTAGAGAATCGCACACAAAATTTACCAACAGATTCCATTGGTTTTTGCGTTCCGTTGAAGCCTGTCATGATTTGTAGTTTAAGAATCACTGATGCAACCCATCAAGGGAACTTGCTTTCCTCATAATTTTTGACTTTCACTTATCTGTACTTTTTTTTTCTTTTTCCTTTTTTAAGTTATTTTTAGTTTTAATTTAAATTCTAGTTAGTTCACATACAGTGCAATATTGGTTTCAGAAGTAGAATTCAGTGATTCATTACTTAAATACAACACCCAGTGCACATCATAACAAGTGCCCTCCTTAATACCCATCACCCATCTAGCCCATCCCCCACCCTCATCCCTCCATCAATCCTGTTTTTTTCTCTATCATTAAGAATCTTTTATGGTTTGTTCCCCTCTTCCCACCCCTCCATATGTTCATCTGTTCTGTTTCTTAAATTCCGCATGAGTGAAATCATACAGTATTTGTCTTTCTCTGACTGATTTTGCTTAGCATAATACACTCTAGCTCCATGTTGTTACAAATGGCAAGAATTCATTCTTTTTGATGGCTGAGTAATATTCCATTGTATATACATACCACATCTTTATCCATTCAATGTACTTTTAGTTCCTACAATGAATTATTAAAATCTATTGTCATTTAAATCTGTTACTAGAGCTTCATCTTCACTCTCTCCATGAAACCTTCCCAAATCCCTTTTTCTTTGTTGGATTGGAAGCTGCAAGAAAGGAGAAAATATAATCTTACACTTTATTTCCTCACGTTGCCTTTTGCTTTGATGTGCTATGCCTAGTACTTCTTTGTTGGATTGGAAGCTGCAGTAGAGGAGAAAATATAATCTTACACTATTTCTTCACATTGCCTTTTGCTTTGATGTGCCATGCCTAGCGGTCTGCTAGAGATGGGAGAATTGTAACAATTATGTAGTTTCATTCTCTTATGTTAGTCCACAAGAACAATTAAAAAGATATGATTTTAACATCTTTAAACTTTGGTTTTGTGGCTGCAATTTCAGCTTTTCTATCTCTACCTGCAAAAATTCCACCTGCTTTGGTGCAGTACATGAGAAATTTCAAACACTGATTTAGACTAGTAGATAGGACTGACCATTTCAATGGTTATTATCATTTTCACTTTTAGTTTTTTAGAGTATGTATATCCTCAGCAGGGTAGTTTCATTAATACTAGAGAAAATACTTGTTTGAAAGTATTTTAACTGTTATATTAACTTATACAAACCTACCTAGTTTGCTATCTTTGGGTGATTATACTTTCTTTGGGCTTGTAGGTGAACATAAAAAGAGGAAGAAAAATATGTCCAAGTAATACAGTACTTTGTATCATAAAGGCATGCTTACAGTTGCTGTTGCTTTAAAGCCTTCATTGAAATGTAAACACTGTAGTCAAATAAAACACAAAGATAAGTTGTGTGAAGCTTTATTCATTCATCTACTCATGAAATAACATGCTTTGCCTGGTTTTATTCTAGGCCCTAGGAAAGCAGCACTGAACAGAAACAAGGCTCCCACTGTCACAAAAATCTTATTGGGGATAACAAACTATAAAAGATGTCTTAGGTAGAGTTAGGGAAGTATAAGTGCATATGAAGAATAACCAAGGTGGTAGGACAGTGCTGGAGATAAGAGGAAGGTTTTTGCAAAGAGCAGAGCAATGATGTAAAAGAGCAAGCCATATAAAAATGTGGGGAAGTACCCAGACTAGGGGCAGGAAGTGAAACAGCTTTGTCTTTTTGAGGACCTGCAAACATGCCACTATTGCTGGAGCTCTGGTGAGCAAAGACTAGATCACTTAGGACCTACAGGCCATGCTACAGTACGAAAGGAAAACCACTGGAAAGTTTGAGCAGGGTCATGACGTGACATATTTAACATGTTTTTAAAGTTCTCTGGCTATTGTGTGGACAAGCAAGGAGATTGGTTAAGGAGCTATTATAGTCCAGGTGAAGGATGATGTGACCTTCAGTAAATTACTTTTCTTTATGCCTCTACTTCAAGTGTAAAATGAGACTAATAATACTCCCTCCCTCATCCTGTTAGAATTAAATGAGTCAACATATGTGAAGTATATCCTGACACATGAATACATTATATAACATCCCCTTTGGCAGACTGTAGAAGATGGTATGAGTGGAACTGATTCGCCATGAAAATCACCTTGAATTTAATATTCCCTTCAGCTGATTTCATTTCTAAACAGGGAAAAAGGGGGCACCTAGGTGGCTCAGTAGTTAAGCGTCTGCCTTCAGCTCAGGTCATGATCCCAGGGTCCTGGGATCGAGCCCCGCATCGGGCTCCTTGCTCCGAGGGAAGCCTGCTTCTCCCTCTCCTACTCCCCCTGCTGTGTTCCCTGTCTCGCTGTCTCTCTTTTTGTCAAATAAATGAAATCTCTAAATAAAAAACAGGGAAAAGGGGCAGAGAATCAGCATAATGTGTCTTATCCACAGTTCACATCTTCAGCCCAGCAGTTCTTGGGAAGCCAGAGTGAAAATGTTTTAATGGTGCTTTTTGCATTTAACTCCCCACGACCTCGAATTACTTGGCATGGAGTTGTTCATCTAACATTGTGGTACAGTGAAAATAGCAGTAGAATGGAAATGAAAAGATTTCCCTAGGCACATTACTGTGAGCTTCAGTTCTCATTTGTAAGTTACAACTAAATAATATTTCTTCTGCCTGCTTCACAGAGTGGATAAAATGACAAGATACTGTACATGGAAGCTTCTCAGAAATCACAAATGGCTAAATCCACTGGTGCAAAAAAATAAGATTTTGAGTACCGGTGATGTGAGAGAAGATCCTGGGGATGCAGCAATGAACAAGATCCAATTTCTGCCCTCAATGAATCTTGGAGTATTGGAGGGAGACCATTTCAAAACACTACATTGTCTTAATACGGAATAAATGATCAGGGATTCTGAGTACACAAAGAAGGGAGGAATCTGAAGAACCAAGTATACATTGTGAATGAACATACTCTGCATTCTATTCTCAATCCCTCTTACCTTAATTTTCATTGAATTTATTACCACTGAACATAGTATATATTAATTGCCTATCTCTCCCAACTAGAAAATATATTCCATGAGTATACTGGGTTGTCTTTATTTTTTTTGTTAATTGTATCCCTAGCAACCGGTATAATGCCAGACACCAACACATATGAAACATTTAGT